ATCCATCCATCCATCCTGCTCAGTAGTTAACATCACTGCCTAAAAGAAAAAAACTAAAATGTTTGTATTAAAGGAGACCTTTCAGTATTTTTCCCAGTCACTGTGAGTCAATTCCTGACATGTCACAAAATACCCAGAGCGGCTGCCGGTTGTCACCTGCCGGGATGCCATCACGCGCACGCAATTAACTGCCAGCAGCCATCTCGGTGATGGACGCCGGCAGAGAGAGGAGAGGATGTTCATAATAAGGTATGTCGCCGGGTCCCCTCCTCCTCCTCGGGCTCTCGGTCCATGACCGAGTGCTGACATTTCAGAGGGGGTGACTGTGAGTCATTTTGGTGTCGCTCCCTTTGATGGTGTCAACCCGCACCACCCCCCAACCCCCGCATCCCCCCTGGTGACGTTTTTTACAGCAACAATATACATTTTTTAATCACATAGGAGCCGGATCTTCTGCTGAGCCAAAACCTGGGAAAAAGCAATTTGCACGGCATTCACACCACTAGATGGAGCCGAGGAGCACAGAACATTTTTATGCTCCTTGGCTCCCTCTAGTGGTGGGAAAGCCGAGGGCAAGAGGGCGCCAAGCTTTTTTTTCAGTTCTGGTCAGCCATGATCTCCTAAGAAAAAAGGAGCAAAATCCTTGTTGTCACCAGACACAGAGACACTGCGACCACCATGAACGTACATTGTTTCCACAGACAGGCGTGTAGCTTGTGACATGGTATTATGGTGAATGAATGCTCCTCAAAGAGACAAATGCAGCCGGGTGGAGTTCCACTTTAAGGTTTCCTGGGAAACGTTTTACGGGGAAAGCGATCGTCTCTCCCAGCGATACATTTTCTGCGCAAGTTGGCAATTTTATGGCATGTTGATATTTGAAGTGCGTTGTCAGCTTCTCGCATCGCCGAGCTGCACGCCGCGCAAAGCGTTTCACTGGTCTGATGTGTTAATCATATAGGAATATGGCACCGTGAGCCCTTCCGTGTGATGTAATCGGTTCATCATTCCCTGATGGAAAAAGTCTCATTGCGATATAAATGAGCACAATAAGGTGAAGCGCATGTGTATATATTCCAGTGATATAGAGCGGCGAGTCCTCTCCGAGCCCCGCCGAGCGCGTATCCATAGATCATCGGCGCCGGCGGAGGCCGATAATGACGTCTGGTACGTCCCCCCTCATTAGCCCGGCCTGCTTCCAAAGCATCCGGAGCACTCTGGCTGCACTCTGGCCTCCCAATCGCGTTGGGTAACGGCAGCGCCTCGCACGTGACCCATCGTACCGCTATAGCATCCTGATTGAGTCCGCGGCGGGGCCGGGGCGCTGCGCGATGTGCGATGCTCGGGTGCTAGCGTCGTTTCGCCTTTTTTATCTTCTTTTCTCCCGGGGAAAAAAACAGAAACCAGAGAGCACGGCTTCTCCGCTAATAATCTGCAGATTATTCATTTACAGCGAACGTTCCCGATCCGCGCTGAATGTTCTGCCCGTTTCTTAAAGGGCCAGGACCCCTAAAATAGTTTAAAGCTGCAGCTGTGTTAAAGTCACAAAAATTGTACCTTTCCGGTCCAGCCTTAAACCGCATGCAAAGAGATATAGCGCATGAACGCACGCAAAATCCTGGGATTTTACATGTGCGTACGAAACGCGTCAGTAATGCGGTGTCAGCCATTGTTAAGGGTGCCAAGGAAGACACGTGCAAAAACAAACAACAAACATGCTTAAAATGCTCAAAGCTTAAAAAGGTGCATGAGTTTGTTTGTCGTGTTTGGTGCTGGCTTCACTTGTTGCTAGGCAGCCTGGCTTCCTAACGAATCAGGAAGCTGGTCAACACATAATGACCTGCCTCCCGGCTTTGTAATTGGTCAGGAAGCTGCTCTGCCCAGCAACAAGTAAAGCCGGCTTCCTAGCCAATCAGGAAGCTGGAAGGTGGGTAATGACTTGCTGCACGGCTTCCTGATTGGCTAGGAAGCCAGCTTCACTTGTTCCTAGACAGCCTGGCTTCTTAGCCAATCAGAAAGCCGGGTGGCATCTCATGACTCGCATCCTGGCTTCCTGATTGGTCAGGAAGCCACTCTGCCCAGCAACAAGTGAAGCCGGCTTCC